TACATATGCGGGCCAGGCAACAACAACAAAAATGCGGGCCAGACAAAATATATTATTAGTTATTACACATACCTCAAACACACAGGCCAAATTACCAAAGTGGTAAAAAAGGGTCATTGGACAGATTGGTAAAAAACCTTTTGAGACATATTGGTAAAAAAACCTAGTGACAAATTGGTCAATTTTTTTAGAGTGATAAACTTTTGATCCTTGACTTTAGAATTCTCGGCCTTTCATATTCTAGTATTGTGAAAATGACATTTTGAGTTTTTTACTTTGATTTTGTCATCAAAAGTGGAAGCCAAAAAATGTCAACGACCGTGTTTGTCTGTTTGATAATAGCATTTGTCTAGTAGCAGATTCCGTTAGCTTTTATAACTGACCGCTTTCATATGGAGTAGATTTTTTAAATGGAGTAGACCTTAAAAAAACTACTCCGTAACAAATAATCATATTAAAAATATTATTACTAAAAATATATGAATTTATGTGTGTGTGCTCGCATTAAAGTACATGTCTTAAAATAATACTGTTAGTAATTACTAGTATTTAAAATAATCGTAAACAGAAATTTTAAAACATTTTCCAAAACTTATTAAAAATAATAAGAAATAAAATTAATTTAAATATATAAACTTTTAAAGTCATTTTTAATGGTCATTTTACGTCTGAAAAACTAATTGCAAATTTTAAGTTACTAACATTTTATTTCAAACCGCTAATGAAAGCGTTTAGTTAAAAAAGCTAATGAATCCGCTAATATCAATATGTTGATTCAACTGGTTATGAGCTAGCAGACAACTAATATTATCAAACACGGTCATTGACATTTTTAGTCCTCCACTTTTGATGAAAAATCAAAGTAAAAGGACCGCGAATGTCAACTTCTCAATGCCTATAATATGAAATGTCGGTAATTCTAAAGTCGAAGATTGAAAGTTTATCACTCACAAAAAAATTGACAGATTTTTCACTAGACCTTTTTTATGAATTTGTCCAATGACTGTTAGAGCAAGAATCTGACGATCTATGTTGCATTAAAGAGGGTTGACCACAGAAGTTAATGATACGTTCATGAGGCTTAATGATGGCTGTTGTAACGGATTTGTGTTTATTATTGAAATTAGTAACGATATCAAGGCCGAAGGTTACCCATTTTGAGCTGGCCAATATTAATGTCAAGTCAAACCGCCACTAACGGACAACTGGAGTTATTGGAGCATTCATAAGGCTTAATCTTAATTATTGTGACCTTTTTATGTATTATTAGGCTCTTTAATGTAATTATGGGAGGTATTAACTGTAATTGACCAGCCTGTATGACATATTTGAATTTGTCATCAAGTACGGCCAACTCGTTAGTAACGTACAAAGTCATCATGAGAGCATTAATTACCCTTCCTATAAATAGGACATCCCCTATTGTATTACAGCAGCTGGACATTCGAATAACACACTCAAATACACTCTTATTTGTTTGCTTGTCATCTTCTTCATTGTTCTTGTACGAGACCCCATCTACATATAATTTTCTTTTTTAATTAGTTTTAGCTTATCAAAATTTTGCTTAACAATTTGGCGCCCACCGTGGGGTCTCGTGCAAGAAAAACTATCATCCATGGAAGGTTGTAACTCAACGTCAATGGCGGGATTCAAGATGGAATCAAAAACTATGAAGGAAGAAACGAAACATATCATCTTGTCGATTGATCATATACCAAGCTTCACCGCTGCTTTCATCTCGTTGAACTCAACGACGCTTGTGGAGTTAAGAATGCAGGGGCAACTTTCGATGGCTAGTGGCGATGGCGCTCAAAAGACAAATCTAGGAAACCGTAGAAGTGCACAAAGACGATGCGATGGTTTCATCAAAATAGGCCTCTGGAGTTTCCTTATGTGGTCGGGTATTTAGGCAGATGTTTGGAAGCAAAGCAATCAGAAATCTTTTAAAAATCCCCGCAATGGGGCAATATTTCACGAACAACTCATTGTGATTCCAGAAGCGCAAATACCGAAGTCGAATATGAAGAGCTCATTACGAGTCTCACCATGGTCAAAAGAGTTAAGGGTGAAATTACTCCAGGTAAGTAACACCTCCTTTTTATTGTGAATCAAACTAATCTTGTATATGCAGCATAGAGTCCAAAAATGATGTCAACCTTGACGCAATCACAATCGTGACGGCTTGACAAACGTACCATCCAACGAATCTCAAGGGAAGATGTAGGCCGATGATCTGACTGGTTTTAGGGACGTGTCGTCTCTTGAAGTCAATGAAGACATCACATTGGTGCATTTGACAAAATCGATGATTGACAGGGTTGATACAGTCAACAGTGTCAAATTATTTACGGACGAGCCCTGCGTGCAACCATTTGTAGATGACGTCTTCAGAACCTAAAGTTCTACTCCGTATAAGGGTCATTTCACAATCGCCTTCCACCTGACGAAGCAAATAGATTTTCTACAAAGTTCTGATGACGGGGGGCACGAGAGGCCTTATTCATGACCTGTGGAATAAGTCATCACATCATGACGAGATGAACACGACAAGATGGTTGAAATCATGGACGAGGGGCATGTCATCCGATGTTAGATAGGTTCTAAAGAGCTGCAATACGGTACCCTTAAAGTTGCTTCATTTTTAATTTGTTACTTTCTTTCGCATATTGTCATCAATTCCGTGATGAATCACTTTTGTGACAAATCACTTTCATGCTGAATCACTTTCATGACGAGTCACTTCCGTGATGAATCACTTTTGTGATGAGTCACTTCGCGGCGAGCCCCTTCGCGACAAGTCACTTCCATGACGAGTCACTTCGGTAACGAAACGATTTTAGTCGTCGGACGGGGGGCATGTCGTCTGGCGATAGACATGTTCTGATTTTATATACAAATGCCTAATTCATTACTTTCATTTACCTAAAAACGACACTAACTTAATCATCGGAGGGCCGTTGGGCCAAAACCAACGGCCAACCTTGACGTTTTGTGATGAATGCATGATTATGTTAAGCCATAAATTCAGGCAGATATTTAGGCGATCTACAAGGGGTATAAAACGTCATTCATACCCACATCGGACAAACATTTTTCTTAAACATCGAAATGGAAAGGGTTAAGCTGCCCATGAGAATATCATGGATCACAGTCCTAACAGAGCCCAATACTTACGTTTTGGTCAAAACCTACACACGTATATGACAACACACGTGCAACCAAAACATATATGACAATGCACGTGTAACCAAAACATATATGATAACACACATACAACAAAAAATACAGAACTACACAACAGAAGCACATGTTCCAACACAAGGAGTAGTACGAACGACAAACGTAACGCTATTTAAAGTTTTTGCTGGATATGAACCAAGTTCACACAACTCATCTCGTCATCTTCAACGACAGATGATGTTTCCTTTGCCAGCTGAAGTGTCGACATCAATATGAAAGATGTTGCAAATTTCTGTCATCTAGTCGTCAAGGCAATTTTGGAGGGGAGAAGATAACAACCTTCCAGTTTTCTTTGTCTTCGTTAAGGACACGGATTCGACCGAAGGTTATTCCAAAGAAAGACGGAAACATTTCGACAACCGAATTGATCAATACGTCGCGACAAGTCATTGATGAGTCAATGGACGCAATGAACCAAGAGGTGAAGTATAGCTCATTCAAAATAACGACAAATTGCCGCTTAACGATCTGACCCATGCATTGTACGCGTTAACTTCTCGAAAGGGGGCAATTGTTAGAGCAAGAATCCGACGGTCTATGTTGCATTAAAGAGGGTTGACCACAGAAGTTAATGATACGTTCATGAGGTTTAATGATGGCTGTTGTAACAGATTTGTGTTTATTATTGTAATTAGTTACGATATTAAGGCAGAAGGTTACCCATTTTGAGTTGGTCAACATTAATGACGAGCTGTGAAACCGTCGGGTCAGAACCGTCAAGTCAGACCGCCAAGAACGGACAACTAGAGTTATTGGAGCATTCATAAGGCTTAATCTTAATTATTGTGACCTTTTTATGTATTATTAGACTCTTTAATGTAATTAAGAGATGTATTAACTGTAATTGACCAGTCTTTATGACAGATTTGAATTCGTCATATGTACGGCCAACCCGTCAGTAACAAAGCCATCATGCGAGCATTAATTACCCTTCCTATAAATAGGGCATCCCCTATTGTAGGCTTTTTTGGCTAAAGGGTAAAATATGCCCTCAAACTAACTTAGAAAGTGCAAGTCACCCCTTATATAGGAGGCTTTGTCCGGCCGCCATCAATTGGGGTGGTTCCTGGTGGAATTGTTTGATGATATTTTTTTAGCATCGTTTTCATTAAGTCTTGTTTATTCATACCAAATTTAAGCTAAACATTTAATCGGGAAAGCAGTCAAACGAATTTTTGAAGATAACTGCGCAGTTAAACAACACAGTACATTTCAGAAAATCATTTGACTGTCTTCCCGGTTGAATTTTAATCTGAAATTTGGTATGGATAAACTAGACTTAATGAAGAAGATGCTAAAAACATTTCATCAAACAATTCCACCGGGAACCGCCTCAATTGACGGCGGCCGGACAGAGCCTCCTACATAAGGGGTGATTTGCACATTTTAAGTTAGTTCGAGGGCCTATTTAACCATTTAACCCCTATTGTATTACAACAGCTGGACATTCGAATAACACACTCAAATACACTCTTGTTTGCTTGCTTGTCATCTTCTTCATTGTTTTTGTACGAGACCCCATCTACCTATAATTTTCTTTTTTTAATTAGTTTTAGCTTATCAAAATTTTGCTTAAACAATGACCCTTTTTTTTTTACCAATTTGGTAATTCTGCCCAAACACACAATTTGGTTTATTATTCACGTGTCGATCAAATGTGATCAAATTTCATTTCAAGGAATAAAGTGAATAGCATATGATTTATAGACATTGCCAATTTTTTTGTCTATTGAACTTTATCTTTGATATGAGAGGGCTCAAAACGGCAGACCCCAAAGCAAGATGGGCGCCCCATCCTCGAAAATCATTCCAACAAAACAGAAAATCTAAAAACAAAAACTTCTTCGCTCAAACACCGGGAAAATCAACCCTCAATCTAGGAGACCCCGGAAAATAAGCCGGCCGTCAGCTTCAACATCGAATTTCACATCGCAAATACTATCGGACGCAGATACTATACCCGGCAGGTTCCCTACATTTGCATGTTATTTGTGTAACTATAGTTCAGGGGCGGATCCAGGAATTATAGTTATTGGGGGCACTTTTTAAAAAAATGTGGATAAAAAATTAGATAACAAACACTTCCACCGTTTCGTTTTAGTTGCAATGTTTCCATTTTCACGTTTTCCAGAAAATCGCCATTAATATATTTCAATTTTTATTATTGAAAAAATTAGGAATTAGAATTTGAAAATAGAAAATGAGAAGAAATTAATAATATTTTTCAAAATTAAAATTTTAATACACCAAAAAATAAAATGTAGTCAAAGTAGACATTTTAGTAATATAAAATTCAACATGTTGTAATTAAAAAAGAACGAAAGTTGTATAAATTAATTTCAAAAACCGGCAAAGTCAATGATAATTCCATTCATTTACTCGTGTTTTGTACATATTACAGTGAACAACTAATAATCCAACCTTTTAGCAATCTTTTTACAATAGTCCCACCTTTTTGTTATTCAAGAATAATCTAACCTTTGCACCCCATCTTCATTCGCTGGTCCCTGACCGGTTAATGACCTGCTATTCCAAGTTATTTTCTTATCTATGCAAAATATTATCTTTGTGAAAGGTTAGATTTATGGTATAATGGTTTGCAAAGATAAGAAAATAACTTGGAATAGCGGGTCATCAACCGATCAGGCACCAGTGAATGAAGATGAGGTGCAAAAGTTGGATTATTTATGAATAACGAAAAGGTGGGACTATTATAAGAAGACCGCTAAAATATTTGATTATTAGTTTCCATTTTCCCTTTAAATTTCTTACGATAAAAAAAACTTTTTAACTTTCTTCTTAAAAGTGAACAAATTAATTTTGGACGGTGAATCTGTTGTGGATACTGTTTTAACTGTCCAAGAGTATGTCGAATAGTTGGGGTTAGATCATATCACTAAATTAAATATTTTAAAATTATAAATTAGATGGGACATCGGGGTGGGCTTGCCGAGTGTACTCCACATTTGCTGCTTTGAACACCAATTCTCTATACTCCGTATTTGAGTCCGTATAAATTAATGGGGGCATCAAGTTTTTGGATTGGGGGCACTACCTTCGTTTGTTAATAATACATATTCATATTACACTAAAGTTATGAATTTTATTGGGGGCATGTGCCCCCATTGATTACATGGTGAATCCGTCCCTGCTATAGTTCTGTACTTGTTCTCTTATTTGAGCTAGCCTATCAAGATCTGTAGTTGCCCTTATAGGATTAGCAGTTTTATGTTTATGACGAGTATTATCTTCTACTGACCTGATTTGTTCTGCAAATTCTTCTCCAAAAGCCACCGCCTACCTGGAGAAGAATATAATTGATTCGCATATCATTCTGTTTAGATATTCCAGGTAAATGTATATAATGGCCGAATCTGCGAATTTATTTATCTGAATGATAAATGTTTGGTAGAATCTATTTCAGCCGAATAAGAATGTCAAAAGCTACTAATTTTGCTGGTTGTAACCGTGAACAGAATAAGCCCGATAGGACTACCAAAGGGAGCCTTAAAATTATCACATTATCAAGTATTGCCTCTGATGATGAATAAAATGAGTACACATAACCTTTTCAGGATAGAACAAGGTTAGATGACACCAATCAGAAAAGCAAGCATTTATTTATTTATGAGAGAATCCAGTGACAAAACTTGCATCAAAAGCTCTGAGATATGGAATATCTGGCCTTTAAGCAACCTTTGTTGCAAGCTATTCTAATCCTGCCATGTTTTCTTGCAATTTCTTTTCTTCTTCTTTTCCCCTCTCCTTTTGTGTATCTTCTGAATTTCATACATACCTTCTTCTGTTCTGCTACCTTTGCTTTTACATCAATGGCAGTGACTCATGCCGATCTTGCTCCCAGTCCTCCTAAAACTGACCTGGGCAGCAAAACAGGCCTTTTCGTCGTTGTTTTCTCCATACTTTTAGGGCTGCTTTCCTTCATTCTCTCCCTCTTTGCAGAAGCCACCCGTTCTGAGGCACTATGGATGGGAAGAAAGTGCACATTTAGCGGCAATGGAAAGGCTCCTCTAATGAGTGTGGCTGGGGCTTTCTTCTCCCTGGCACTAGCCATGCTGATACAACATACTTATCTGTTGGTAGCTGTGAGTAAAATTTCAGAGCCGTCATCAGCTAACTGGGACCCGCATTCTGATTTTTTCAAGCGTCTCACCTGGCAAGCTGGTTTTTTCTTCGTTTCAATGTGGTATGAGTCCCAGTAACTTTTAAAAGTCCCCGTCTACCTCAATTTACCAGGTGCTCGTTGATGGGCACATTTTTGCTTAAACTCCACAGGATTAAAACCCGACTAAGCGTTAGACGCCATTGACCAGCGTATGACCTAGCAGGCGCCAAGTGCACCTCAGAGGAGGGACAGTCCAATGACTTAGCTTATGCAATGAAATTATGATGAAACTGTCCTGATATTTTTTAAATTCCATCGAATTTGTGAAATTTCCATATTTTGAGGTTCTCACATCGATGTGAATGATAACGAAATTTCTCTAGAATCTCGTCGAGAAGTCTGCAACTCTGCAAATATTATGAAATGTTGAAAAAATACTGAAGCATTTTGATAACTACATTCAAGCATAGAAAAATATACCTTAAATACTAGTAATCTCATTATCTTTTCTCAAAAAACTTTTGTAGTACAAAACTTGGTTTATTTCCAGAAATATTTTTATATAAATATTGATATCAAAATATTAACCATTTTTTTCATAAATTCGAAGTATAGATATTTCCATAAACTCCACCAATAATTATCCTTAAATACCAATCTTATGTACTTGTTTTAAAACCTTATTATTGAAAACTTGTTTATTCAGGCGTTAACTATTGTGACATCATGTTAAATACGGAGTACTACGTAGTATTATTTCATGTAAAAGGTCGAATTGATATGAGATGCAACAAAGACCGTGGTGCTTGCATCTATGCCAACTTTGATTTTAGATTTTACATTTTTAAGAGCAACATACTAACATGACATAACTATACAAGTTGTGTAATATACTAAAAACAATCATATTTATACTAAAATGTCTATTTTAAAACTACCAACAACCAAAAACACAACCACAATTTTCCATTTTGGCTTTACTAAAAAAAGAGCCTGCAATCAATAATGAAAATGCTCTTATATGTTTAATATGTTTTTGATAAATGTTGGATGTGTTAGCATTTCATATATGTGTGTAAAGCATGTGCCAATATATTTACAAATTCATTTACAATTATGTGTTCTTTGTGATGATAGGTGTTCATTTGCGGTTGGTGAGATATTGCTGCTAATAGGACTAAGTGTAGAATCTGGTCACCTAGAAAAGTGGAGAGAACCAAGGCCAAGCTGTATCGTAATTGGACAGGGAGTGTTCTCAGCTGCAGGAGTTTTCGGTCTTTTAACTGTCTTCATGGCTGCCGGTCTGTACATTGCAGTTTTGCGCTGGCAGAGGTTTTTGCAAGCCCAAGAAAACATCGATCGGAACGTTATCGAGGCACCAGTCCTCTATGCATCGCCACCAAGGTCGCCACGGCAAATATTAAGACCTGTTGCAGATGAGAGCCACATTGCAAGACATGATAGAAATGATCATCTTTTGTTGGGACAATATATGACAGAGGTTGAAAAGTACTTGCATCTTGTTTGATTGAAGAGAAGAAGAAGAGAGCATGCCAAAGGAAATAGGGATTGCGTATAATATGGAAATGTAAATAACAAAGAGATTGTTGTATATTTGTGAATTCTAAACCACCTCACATCTTTTTTATTTATCAATGTATCTTTATAGTACTTCATTTGAAAAGAAGTACATCATGTTTGGTTATGTAAATTTTAGCAAAATATAGCTTTAATCACAGAAAAATCTTATCCCACCCAAATCTTTCTATGTTGCACAGATATCGCCTCTATATTTGCAGCCACGCTTTTATATATGAAAATCCAAAGATAACATTTGATATTAGGTTGTGAATTTATTAGGATACGTTATAAAACAGAGTGAATAATTTCAATATGTCAAAAATAATAAAAAATGATTAGTTATTCATATTCATTAAAAGAAACTCCACTAATATGATTTTCACATCTCTGCCCAATTAGGTTTTTAATAAGATTTTATGGTTCTTCTACTAAATTTCAAGTTATGGAATTTATTATTATTATTGTTGTTGTTCAAGTATTAACAAAAAATCAATACTTTGAAAATTAAAATATCATTATACGCATACCAAATTTCAAAATAATTGATTCCCCCAAAATATGAAAGTAGCCGGAAGGAAAAAAAATTATGAATAGCTATTTTAAAAAGGGAAACCGGATAATTATTATATAAAGAAAGTACAAATGTACAATTAGTTTTTCTGAAAACAGTGGACCACATGTCAGTGGAATTTATCTATATGTACCTTTAACTTTTCAATGAGATTATTTACTACTTCCAGATGTCTAGAATAGTTACTTTTTTTTTTAGAAAAAAAAACAGAAAGAATGAACCAAATAAAACATCCATTTATCACAGTAAAACAATATTGATTGCACATACGGTGGTCAACTGACACAAAGTAAAAGACACTGGGATTTGCATCTGTGAAACCCGAGGAAAAATGTGTGACATCACCATCACCACACATTTTTAAGTAGAGACCTCCATTAAAAAATGTGAGGTGAAGCCACATAGGCTATATGACTCCATAGAGGAGTCAGATAAGGTTCCTTAAAACCTCTCCACATCCACTCGGTTATTCACAACAACACCAAATGTCAAAAAAACATAGAAAACATAGCATCAAATAGAAATGGAACGTGGTCTCTCATAAAAGATGTAGACCACACTAAGTCCACTTGGGCATTGAGCGTGCGGGTAGTTAGAGCATATGAGATGCCTCCCCAGTCTAAAGGACGACACTGAATGGAAGCGATGTTTCATGATGCAGAGGTAATATTTTCACTCATATCTATTTTCAATGTAATAATTTCATTAATCCTACATGCGTGACTACAAGTTGTTGGCATGCTAGTAATAACGGATTGTGTACATGGAGAAAGAAATCCACGCAGTCATAAAACGACCACATGTGCCATTGTTTAAGTCTAAGTTAGCAAAAAATGGAGTTTATGCCATCAAAAATTTCTTAGTGCTGAACAATTAGTGGCCACACTTACAAAATCACGTCACTCCCTTGCATTCTTGAGTTCATAAACAGGACACAAATCAAGGAAATCTCACGAGACAACATTCCAAATCATGTCTATAATTTTCACCCAATTGAAATGTTATAGAGCCTAAGAGTGATAAATGACAAATTACATATCGGTAATACTATATAATCTATCTAATTTCACTTTAAATAGTTCATTTGATATATCATGTGCTAAGATTATGTTTTAGCATATAGATGTAATCGGCCAGGTTATGGGGAAAATTATTCCACAAATGCATGTTATAAATGGAAAACCCGAGAGACTTATGGTGTTAACCCTGAAGGCCGAACCTGAGTGAATTCCCCAAACTCGAACTATGCTTTTACTAACTTTATTATTTCCACAACCTAATCCTATTGTGACTCTTCTATAGGCATAACCGCATTGGTCGCACTTTATGGAACATCTACATCAAAATGTTTATTGATTTTTTTTAAGACCACAAGAAAGTGGCTATATTTATTATTGTTCAAATGTGTGGGTCAAAGAGATGCCAAAGTAAAAACTCTAAAATCATAGAAATGTCGATTCCCTAAAGCTTTGAATGGTATTTTACATGGGTTTGCAAGTCAACTGTCGGTTACGACTTGTTATGATGTTACTAAGGGGGTGTATTCAATTTGGATTGTTGTGGACTTTTTTTAATCCATGGACTTTTAAAAAAGTCAATGGACTTTTAAATCCATAGACTTTTTTATGAATGAATTCTATGGACTTTTAAATCCATGGATAAGTTTATTGACTTTCAAAAAGTCCATAGACTTTTAAATGCGGACCACCACGGCTGGTCGTCAAAATTTTCACCTAGATTGTCACTACCGATATGCCTGTGACCTGTCCGCATCTATCACCGGAGTTCCCCGCTGTCGTCATCGGACTGACGCGTCACCAACAAAATGGCTTTGGTTCTGAAAGGGAACTAGGGACAATTAATTATATTAATTAATTAATTAAATTAGGGGTGAATATGTAATATTTATTCCCATTTAAGAAAAACCAAACATTTAATCATACTTTAAGAATAATGCTATGTTTTAGTCCTACCGTGAGTGATTTCCTCTATATAATACGGAGTACGGTAAGAAATAAATAAGTAAGTAAGTAAGTAAATAAATAAATAAATAAATAAATGAATAAATAAATAAATAAATAAATAAATAAATAAATAAATAAATAAATAAATGTAATTCAAATAGCAAGACAAAGTTCTACAAAACTAAATGAAGCATAAGAATTCAAATTTATTTTTATTAAAAACAACTCAAAGTTTCAAAAATGCTCGAGAATTTTGGCCATTTTATTAATGATTAAGAACATTAATCGTTACACAAGCGTTACACTCATTGCTACATGTGGTACAAGCATAAATGCAATCGAGCTTTTCTACTTAGTGATTGTTTTCTTTTAACTTCTATCTTGTACAAACTTGTATATGTATTTATGGTTATATATTTATTAATTTGAAATTATATTTTTATGTGTTAAGCGATTTAACGATGAAAGAAAGTGATAGTTAAAATATTTATTTTCTTAATGGTTAACTGATGACGTATCAGAATTGCATTGATGTAATACTATTGATTCTTATATCGGTTCTTCTATAAACTTCTAGAATCGAATCAATATAGGATTACTGAATTGAGGGGGGTGGACTGGGGACGGCAAGCTAAAGAAGAAGAAGAAGAAGAAGAATGGAAGGAGAGGGGTGGGCGAGCTGGGTTGAAGAAGAAAAAGAAGAAAGATTGAAGAGGAAGGTGTGGCTTGGCTAAAGAAGAGTAGAGTTGGGGGAGGGGGGGAGTAGGCTTGGCCCGAGGCCGGTCTGACTGACTCGGGACCCGGCCCGTTGGATCGGTACCGGTACCGGGCCTAGGCCCGACCAGGGGGGATTAATTGGGGCGGTTCCGGAACTGCATATTTGAGGACCAGCCCGGTCCGGGCCTTATTTGTTTTTTTTTTGGGTGGGGGGGGGGGGGGGGGGGTTGGGCCTATGGTAGGTAGGCTGGGTGTTTTGGAGGGGTTTGGGGGGTGAGGGTTGGAATATATAAGAAAACCGAAAAAAATGAACCAGCCCGGCCCAACCCGGAACTAGCCCGGCCCAACCCGGAACTGGCCCGGCCCGATACCGATAGACTCTCGGGCTGGTCCCGGGCCTTACCCAAAAAATTCCAAGCCCGGCCGGGCCCGACTCGGAACAGGAACTGGGTCTGGCCCGGTCCATCCCTAGGAGGGAGGGGAGGAATGGGGTGGGACGGGATGAAGAACCGATATAAGAAAAGTCCACGGAAATCTTTGGTGAGGAGAAGAGACAATTGTAGAGAATTTTTGCACTAAAAATGAGTTAAAAGTCCACGAGAATCCATGATTTTAGAAGTCAATAAGAATGAACGGAAATTTGAATACGCCTAGACTTTTATAGAGTTTTAAAAGTCCCAATTGAATACACCTAGACTTTTGTGGACTTTTAAAAGTCCACATTGAATACACCTAAACTTTTAAAATCCATGGACTTTTAAAATTTTGCCACTAAATCCTAGTACAATACACCCCCGTAAATTGATAATGAATGGAGAGTCTAGTGAATTTGAAGATTTCAAAAATATGTGAGCATGGGGTTCTGAAAATACTATAGAACGAATCGATGGACTAATTACATCTATGTAATAGATTTGGACCTGAAAATGACGATAACAATACTTTGACTATGTTTACTGGAAATTCAGTCGGTGAAGGTCATGACGACATACTGAGAGGCAATATCCCTATCACAACAATTTTAGATTTGTTGGATCAACTACGTGCAGTGCTATCTAGTTGATACATACGTAGGTGATGGGCAAAGTTATTACCTACTTATCTAGTTCACTGCCCAATGACATTTTCACATGAAGTGTTTTGACCCGATCCAACACAAATGACTCATATTTCGACCCACATTTTTGGACGGGAACACTGTACACTTTTCCACTCTCTTTTTATATAGTAAGATAATTGTTAAAGAACTACTCTATATTTTATTTTTTAAAACCTGCATCGAACTCAAATAAGCATGTAGCTTAAATTATGAGAGAATGCAATAATAATTCACCCTCTTCATAGCTACTTGCTAGTTTGTTTCTAAGTTTTACATGGCCAACAACCTAAAAAGTTATTATAATGCCAATAACAGAACATTATAATATTTTCTTAATTTGAAACTTGTAACTAATAAGTAATAACTAATGATTTGTAAAAGCCCACAAAGTATATACTCCGTATGTACTATGTATTTACTATCTCCGTCTTATTCAAAATATTCTGCTCCACTATTCTCCGATCAATATAAAATCTTTTTAATCTTTTATTTATATATTCAATCCAATCTATAGTTTTTATATAGTAAAGTTGAGTTAAAACTAATGATGTGTCAACATCCTATTGGATAATGCATTAATGCAAATTCTATTATCACAACAACTAAAAAAATTAATTAACTACATACACATGGCTATTTAAAAAAAAACTACATCACGGCTGATTTGGAGCAAAAGAAGGAGAACTAATCTCTCTTTTTCAAAGTGATATAACTATTATATTTATAATCCAGTTTTTACAAAAAATATATCAAAATTCATAACTTTTTATGATCTTTCACATGACACCAGTATCTTATAAAAAACACTGAAATTGCTGACATGTCAATATCTTATTGGTTAACAAAAATTAAAT